CGCGGCAGCGGCAGATTTTTTTAAAAGTCATCGCGGCAGCGGCGCGGTAGCGGCAGGTTTTTTAAAAAACCATCGCGGCAGCGGTAGGATTTTTCTTGGAGGACATTGAAAAACTGTATGAATTTAATAGAATTTCAGGATTTACAAATGAAACGCCCTGATATTGAATAAATCTGATGGACTAGTACCCATATCTCTGGTCACATATAGTCACAGCAGTGAAATTAGAAACACTTTTTTGAAAACCGTCGCGGCAGCGGCGCGGTGGCGGCACGTTTATTTTATAATTCATCGCGGCAGCGGCGCGGCAGCGTTTCTTTTATAAGTCATCGCGGTGCGGCAGCGTCGCGGCAACATTTTTATATAAACCGTCGCGGCGCGGCAGCTTTTTTTTCTAAGGCCGCGGCGCGGCAGCGGCAGATTTTCAGCCGCGATGGACATCTCTGCCACACCCTCATTATTGCTTATCACTTTATTACATATGACTTTTAAAAGTAGTAAAAGTACTTTGTAATAAAGTAATAAGAACCTACTTCATATCTAGCTAATAAGGAATAGTAAAAACTCTAGTATCATGAAAATAGTAAAAACAAAAGTAAATAACGATTAAAAAAAATAATCAGTAATAAAGTTAATAATAATTATTACCAACTACCAAGTGGTAATATTAGAAAGCAAGAGTAATTTAACATCGCTAATTATAAAACTAAAAAGATTTATATTTTAAATTCGAATTATTCTTAGTATTTTCGTACTTGAAATAAAAACCTTTTGACTCTATCCCCTCAAATGTGAATACATATTGCTCATTAATTGCAGATTTTTTTCCCATCTCGATTCTACTTTATAGATATTTTCATGTAATTAACAAAAACAATACTGCAATCAAAATGTCGTCATTTCTCATATGTTGATTCTTGTCTAGAACTTTACGTTAATTTATTTTTTCATTGTTGCTTTAACAAAAATTTATAACGATAGATTTTGAAAGATAAACATTGAGTTACATCAATAATATCATGCAAGTATAGTGGATTCTTATCAATGCTATGAAAATATTACCAAATTTGTTGATTATTGAAATAATGTGTGTACAAATTGTCACTCTTGTATGAAACATCAATGCGTACATTTTATATAGTGATGTTAAAAATAATTGTATTTTCTTCTTTCTTTTCTTTGCTCATTGTGGTCTTCATCGTGATGAATTAAAAAGCCTCATTCTTTGCATCTATTATTTTATTTGTTTTTTGATTCCATTGTAGGATGACTACACATCCAAAGCATTTTTTGAAGTTTTAGCAAATTGATAAAGTGAAAAAAGATTCAAGTATTCAATAATTAAACTTCATATTCTTTATAATGATTTTATTTTGATTCAGCCTTTAAGAAAACACAAATAGCAGACAGTACAAGGACAACAACATAAAAAATAGTTCCATTCAAAAATGCCGTTCACCTAAAATATATATTTTTTAACAGATGTATTGAGTAAAAGTTACAAAAAATAAGAATGACTTAGAGCACAAGACATGAGAAGACAAGAACCACAGCTAAAATTTCTTTTACTTGTATCATTAGTGAAAACTGAATTATTTTGGGATACTGATTGTTGTGCTTGTGTATTATATAGTGTATCTAAATAAATATATCCAATTATAAACAATAGTCTTTTATTTAAAAAAACAAAAAAAAGGATAATTGTCTATTGGATTTATTCCAATGTTGAATATTTCATACTTTCTAACAACGACAAAATTCCTGCGAATCGTATTTTTGATGGATATTTTTCTGAATAGTCAACCATGAGCAAAACAAGGTTCTCAGAAAACTTTTGTTTCTAGAGCTTTGTAGAGCTCGTTGCGCTGATCATTTTGGTAAAAAATGTATTTAAATTTACTGAATTAATAACTATGCTAGAGTCAAAATACTCAAAAATGTCAACTACTGCTCAGCGGCAGTTAGGAATAGCTGAAAGTTTTGAGTATTTTTATTCTAGCAGCGTTTATTTATTCAGCAAATTTGAATACTTTTTTAATCAAAATGATCAGCGCCATGAACTCTACAAAGTTCTATAGACAAAAAAAAATTTTCTAAGAACCTTGTTTTGTTCGTAGTTGACTATTCATAAAAAATATCCATCAAAAGTACGATTCGCAAGCATTTTTATTCTTGGTAGTTTAATATGTACGTATACGAAAGAGAGATATAGTAAAATTTAGGGGTGGGAAGTTACCGTTACCGTTCCCGGGTAACGACAACGGGACCATTACCGTTGCCTGGGTAACTGGTAACGGGTAACGGGTAACAGTTACCCGGGTAACTGGTAACTCCAAATTCTGTTTACTGATGTATTGTCAATATTCGGTCGAAGAGAAGTAATATTTCGTCTTTTTGAGAAGTTACCAGGAAAAAGTAACTGGTAACGGTCCCGTTACCAGTTACTCGGGTAACTGGTAACTCCTTCCATAGAAACCGTTACCGTTACCGTTCCAGGGTAACGGTCTGAGAACGGTAACTTCCCACCTCTAGTAAAATTTCAATAATAAATGACTTGAGTTTTTGAAAAGATGTTTTAATAACAAAAATGATTTTGCTGTCACTAAGGCATTTCAATAGGACTTATTTCGTTTAGGTTTTTAAGCGTTAAGCGAAAGACATGTGATAAAGTCTGAATCTTACCTTGTTGTAGTTGAGCTGGCTGTATAATCATTGGATTGGATGACTTTGGTTGTTTCTGTGTTTTAAACTGATCTGGGCTGGGATTAAGTGGAGATGATTGAACAACTTGGTTAATAGTAGAAAATGATTCCAATAGAGGATACTTTGGTTGAATTTCTTTAAGTTGAATAAGAGAGAGGCCACCAGGTTGTTGAAGAATAGCTTTCACTTTCAATTCTCGTGCAGCTGGGAGAAGTATTTCATTTTCGTTTCTAACATACGAATGTTCTCGAATATCTTTTCCACTTTGACATTCAATAGCAAAAAGGATTCTGGATCCAGATGAACCAAGAAATGCTTCATTTTCTAAAACATCCATTGATGATGTACATGAACTAAAACCCCACCAGATAAGTGATGCTCCTTTTCTGTATTTATCGTTATATCTCATATCAATTTTAATTCCACGATAAATAGTTCGTTGAGTTGATGGAAGTCGAGAAAGCGCTGCCACGAATAATTTCAAGTATAAAAACCAAGGTTTTAGTGATTGACGATTTTCATTACGAAGAGTCTTGTTCAATATATAATAAACACTTTCTTCTTTTGGTTTCCATTCAAGTGTGTAAAGCATAATAGCAGCTGATTCATCTACAGAAAGTTGATCTGCTGGTGGTTTCTGGCACCGTTCTTTTACCACATAAACCATTTGTTCTATTTCAGAAACGAATGGAATAAGAGGTTTTACAGCTTCTTCAAGTGAAACAAGTGGCATTGTACCATAACCTTTTATAGGTGTCATCATGATTAAAGGTTCATCATCAGTATCCATGAATCGTTCATGTTGTTTCAATTGTTGATTATGATTCAACGCATACATTTTGAAAAAAATGATGTAAACAATATCGTTGGAACAAACTTCTGATAGGATTAACTGAATAGTTGGAAAAAATGAATTCAAATCT